TTCTCTAGCCTCAGCTTCCCACATAGCTGGAACTATTGGTGTGCCACCATTCCCAGCTAAATTATCTTATTTTTTATAGAAATGGGGGTCTTACTATGTTGCCCAGACTGGTTTCAAACTCCTGGCCTCAAGCAATCTTCCCGCCTTGACCTCCCAAAGTGTTGAGAAAACAGATGCAAGCCACCTGGCCTGGCCAACTATAGTCTTTCAGTTAGTTGAGGAAACATGGTTTTCTTGGTAACAGCTTTATTGAAATGTAATTCACATGCCATCCAACACTCAATTCACAGGAAAATGATCTTAATTCAGTTTTTAAGAAGGATTTAGGTAAATATTTAATGTTTTACTGAATTATCTAAAACCCTTGATATGATTCACTTTATTTTGATTTATTTTAAAGAATTTGAGTGTTTGAAGTGAAAAGTTTCAGTTATAGCTGCAGCATCTTTCATATATATTCTTGCTAACCTGAAATTAATCTATTCAGCATTACCTCTTTTTTATGTGTTTTGTTTTTGTTTTTGTTTTTGAGACAGAGTCTCACTCTGTTGCTCAGGTTACCCTGCTGTGGCCTCAGCCTCCCAAGTAGCTAGGACTGTAGGCACTCACCACAATATCCAGCTAATTAATTTTTTCTATTTTTAGTAGAGACAGGGTCTCGCTCTTGCTCAGGCTGGTGTTGAACTCCTGAGCTTAAATGATCCTCTTGTCTGGGTTTGATTTATGTATTTTTTAAGCAGTAATGTCACATTTACTAACCTAAAGTTAAATTTCTACTTTGTATCTACTTTTTAATCTGCCATACTGTTGCTGATAAGGTATATTTAAAAACAAATCTACTAAATACTGCACACAGTTTTTAGTAACTAATCATAATGTGATAGTTTTATTTACTTTTTAACATTCCTTTAACAAAGTTAGTGTTGAGTCATTAGAGATAGGTTTCTTTAAATATATACATTGAAGTATTGGGTATTGCATTCTCATTTTCTATATAGATAATCCCCAAGGTTATTTCTTATATCAAAAATAGAAACCCAGATCCATTTTTCCTAGGTATTGGGTCTTGATTATCTTTGGAGCTAATTGATGGGTGTTCTTTCACATTGGTTTCTCAGCAAGGAGAATTAATGAAAATGAAAGGAAATGAAGAGTTTGCCAAAGGAAGATTTGATATAGCTATTATATATTACACCAGAGCCATTGAATATAGGTAAGACCGAAATAGAACAATGAGATTCTTTTTATGTGGCAGATCAAGTTAGAAGGCTACGCAAGAGAAATAAAAAAGATAAACGAGGAATTGGAGACTATCTTTCAATTTGCTATTTAGAATATATTTTCTCATCTTTAGGCATTAGAAGCATTAGAGATGGCGTGAGTATGTGAATGTAGTCAGGTATTATATCTCAAGCAGATCAGGCAAAATTGTGGATTGGTTCTGTCTTCCATTTTTTTTCAAACTTCCCAATACAGAGTCATCTCTTTTGTCTTGTTCTCATTTTGCCATCAACCAAATTTTTGCAAATTATTAACTGATGAAAAAGAGATAGGACTTAAGATGCCATCTGTTTATGGATTTTTGCTTTCTAAGAGATGACTTTTAAAGGCATTGTTGAGAACATGTACATGTTGTCTGTACCATGTCTTGTTTTTGTTCAGCTGCTAGAATTTATAGTTTTCCTTCAGATGTGCCTCCTATTCTGCTCCTACTGACAGCCTCATCTGGGCCACCTAATACTGTAGCAGCCATGGAGGGTTCTCTGTAGACAATGCTGTCTTTTCTTTCTTTCTTTTTTTTTTTCTGAGACAGAGCCTCAAGCTATCCCCCTGGGTAGAGTGCTATGGCATCACAGCAGCTCACAGTAACCTCCAACTCCTGGGCTCAAGCGAGTCTCCTGCCTCAGTCTCCCAACTAGCTGGGACCACAGGCGTGTGCCACAATGCCCAGCCATTTTTTGGCTGCAGCCGTCATTGTTGTTTGGCGGGCCCGGGCTGGATTTGACCCCGCCACCTTAGGTATATGTGGCTGGTGCCTTAGCCGCTTGAGCCACAGGTGCCAAGCCGCTGTCTTTTCATTCTTGCCCATCTCTGCAGGGAATGCATGGGTCCAGTCAGCATACCACATCTGAAAGGCTGCTGCTCTTTTATTTTGAGGACGAGGTAGAAGAAAAGGGGAATAAATTACACTACACATAGATAAAACTAAACAGAACAAAATTTGAAATGAAACTATTTAAGTTGGCTTGGCGCCTGTGGCTCAAGCAGCTAAGGCACCAGTCACATACACCTAAGGTGGCGGGTTCGAATCTAGCCCGGGCCCACCAAACAACAATAATGGCTGCAACCAAAAAATAGCCAGGTGTTCTGGCAGGCACTTGTGGTCCCAGCTAGTTGGGAGGCTGAGGCAGGAGACTTGCTTGAGCCCAGGAGTTGGAGGTTGCTTTGAGCAGTGAAGCCATAGCACTCTACCCAGGGGGACAGCTTGAGGCTCTGTCTCAAAAAAAAAAAAAAAAGAAACTATTTAAGTTACTGTTCTGATTTATAGGCTTTGTTTGTCCACGTGGCACAGGCTGACTTGCATAAGTAACCCTGTCCCCTGAAGTTACAGCACACTTTGTAGTTCACTCGCTCTTTAATATGTCTTGGTTGATCCTTACAGCAGCCCTGTGAATTAGGGCAAATGGAATTATCTTCATTTTGACAGGGAAGTTTAGATTGGTTTGAACAAGGTTACTTAGGTAAGAATTGAAGGAACTGGAACTTAGTACTCCAAATCATGTGTCACATAGATGTAAAATCTTAAAAAAAATTCCATTCCCTGTTTTCTGTGCAGTTTTTGTTTGTTCAGTGTATTATGAGCTTTACTGATGAACCTCTGTTTCTTTTTAAGACCTGAAAACCACCTTCTTTATGGTAACCGAGCTCTTTGTTTTCTTCGTACTGGACAGTTCAGGTAAGTTGGTTAAAGTATTCCAGTTGCTGAATTACTTACTGTGCTAAATACTCATTTTGGGAGATATTTCTGTTTTGCAGGTATGCAAGAAAATCCTTGAATAGTTTTTTGGCAGAAATACTTAAATGGTTTAAGGAGGATGCTGTAGGCTTTACAGTCTATAGTAACAACACTGACAGCAGCAGCTATTCTGAGTGCAAACATGTTATGCATTATTTTAGGTGCTTTAGATACGGTATTTATTCTCATAGCACCTATAATAGGTAGGTCGTGTTATTCTCCATATTTTACATAGCACTGGCAAATAGTGATGCCAAGATTTGAACATAGATCTTAAATGATGTCAAAGTCTGTGTTTATAACACTTATAATGTATTGCCTCCTTTTGTTCTATTTAGTTAACCTATATGGTCTGAAATAAGCATTTTTGTTATTTTTTTTTCTTTCTATAAAAGTAAATGTTCTTCATAAGTGAAAGTAAGCAAAAAAATTGAATAGCTTAAGAGTGGAATCATAATTAATTCTTAGTTCCTTATGTTGAATTTGAACTGAATTTTTATTAGTTGAGAAAGATTAAAAAAGATACTGTATCATGATTTTATTGTTTCTTAGTTTTAAAATTTTAGGACATAAATTATAAGCATTGTTACTGAGCAGTGTAGATTATTGTGTTTAATTATGTCCTGCCTTACTGTTAGAAGGGTTGAAAGTATATTCAAAAATATGTCCATACAGTAGAAAAATATTGAAAACAAACTAGAAAACCAAGTCAGAGCTCGGGATCTTCAGTACAAAGTTGCAGAGGCATAAAGTCACACACAGCTATTGGTTGTCACTCATATTGTGTCTGACCCTCTGTTGTCAAAAATGAAAAGGGAAAAATCGACAAGTTACTTCATTCTGATTGTCTTAAAAAAACAGGGTACCAACTGCTGTGGTGAAACTGTGTTTTCTTAGTGTTTACTTCTAAAAATGAGTTTCTTACATGGCTTATAGGTATTAATTGAGTGATGGAGTAGATAGTAATGTCAGCACCATTCCTGTTCATACCATAAGCTCACTGAAAGGGCAGTTTTGGGTTTCACAAATAAATCTTTTAGTGAAACTTTCTCATAAAAGCTGATAGCAGTTGTTCTTCAGTAAAAGCACTTATGTTGGGATGTGGGAAGGGAGGAGTGGGACGGTGGTATATTCCAAGTATGTAGCTTTAAAAGTAACATTTATTGTGTTTTTCTTTTATTATAAACAGAACACATTCTCATGGTAGAAAATTTGGAAAATACAAGAGTTTAAAAAGAAGAAAATAAAAATCACCAGTAATCCAACCACCTTGGAGAATACCGCTGTATTAACGTTATGCAGCTTTTAGATGGCTTAAGCCGTGGATAAACCGAGGCTATCTAGACTAGAGGAATGGATGGGCTTGACACAGTCTTCCATCAATACCACTGTCCTCACCTGGTTCTGACAAGAAATGAGCTGCAAATGTCTTTAGATTACTGCTTCTGGTTAGGTCCAGAATTGGTGAATTTGTATGCTTTCAAGATCAGATGCCTAGATTGGCAACTTGGCTAGCCTCTTATGAAAATTGAGGCACCTATCTGAAACCTTGCCTGGCAGAAGGTCATCCATTCTTCAGCTCCAAGGGCTGAGAGGCAAACCAGGGTGTTTCTGCTTTTTTTCATGAGTGTTGAATGCTAGACACACAAGGAGGATCCTCCTAAAACTGCTTCAATAGGAGGTGAATCAAAGTAGAAATACAGAAGCTAGGTAGTTTGATGAGGGAAGGGCAAAGAACTGACTTGCAGACCTGTCCTGGTACCTCCTTAGTGATAGTCTAGCTTGTGGTTTAACACCATCTACATTGTTGCTAGAGGCAGGTCAGCATTATTGAGAACCTTTTGTTCCTAATCAGGCAATCAATATGTATCAGATGCCTATTTATAAAGTGTGGTGTCGCACTGGTTTTTCTGGTGTTTCTTACCTTTTCACGTTGTTCATATGATTTGCTCAATAACGTAAGGATGTTTTTAGACTGTAGTATATATAACTTCTGCTCAAGCGTTAGATGATGTGACTTAAGAAAATAACACACTGCTGGTAATCAGATGCACAATTAACACAGGGGACCCATGCTCTATAAAGGTCTTTTAGCTGAATTATCATGGTTGAGATGATTTGAAGCTCTCACATCAGAAGGATGCTAGGTCTGCCTTTGGAATCTGGCTGAGCAGCTGCAGGGACAGCTGGTGGTAAAGCATTTGCCCTCCCCCAGTTTAGCAAGAATGCACTGTGCAGCTGTTCTACAAGGCCAGGCTTCTTTACTGTCTTAAAAGCAAGAATTGAGGTGTCCAAAGAACAGAAGTGGAATATTTTACTCTAGTAGGAAAGAAAGGAATAAAAGAATTGAAGTCATGAATGCTGAAATTTCTCAAATAATCAAATTCTAAAAGATTAGAAATTATAAATTGAAACATTAAAGGAAAAAGATTCAATTTAAAAAGATAACTGACAAGATTATTAATATCTAAAATGGGAAAAATAGTAATACTCTATCTTACAATACAGCTGTCACTGTTCTGAGCACTTTATGCTTGTTAACTTGTAAAACACTCATGACTGTGAGGTGGGTGCTGATGCCTCTTTGCAGATGGGTAAACTGAACCATAGTGAGGCCAAAGTGTCCAAGGACACTGGGTGGATATGCTGGAGCCAAAAGTTGAGCCTGGACGCAGAGTCTCTGATAAGAATCACTGTGGGAAAGTGATGGTAGAGTAAAAGGGGAATGTGAAAATCGAAAAAATTAAAAATAAATGGTCATAATAGTCAAACATTTATGAGGAAATTATTAAAAACTGAGTTTTTCTATCATACTTATCATATTGGCAAAAATTTAAATGTCTTATAATACCAAGTGTTTGAGAGGATGTGGAACAAAGGAAACTTTCATACTCGGCTGGAGAAAAGTGTAAATTGGTAAAATCATTTTGGAGAGCAATTTGACAAGGTGAAGATGTACATACTCTGCAGCCCATTTCTAGGCTCATTCCCTCCTAACTCTCAAATGTGTACCCAAGAAGATATGTACAAGCCTTCATTATAGCATTGTTTGTAAGAGTAAAGAAATGGAAACAACCTAAATGTCCATCAGTAGGGGAATGGATAAATAAATTATGGTATATTCATACAATTGAATTCTATATGGCAGTTAAAATGAATGCAATGTTGAGTGGAAAAGTAAGTTACAGAATGATTTGTATAGTGTGGTGCCATTGATCAATGTTCTAAAACATGCAAAACAGTATGCATGTCCACAACTAACACAGTTTGTATGAAAAATGTTTTCAATATGCATGGGTATGTCAAATACCAGGGAGTGGCTGTCTGTGGGGAGAGGAGGAGGGAAAAGGAGAGATGGGAGGAATGGTACACCATGGACGTCAACTGCAACAAACTTCTGCGAGAAGAGCTGAAGTAAATATGGCAAAATGTTAATTTCTTGCTAAGCTGGTACACGGTAGTGGGTGCTCATTTTGTAAATGTTATGTGTACTTTTATGTATACCTGAAATACTTGATAAAAAGTAAAAGTGTAATTTAAAATGCATATGGTAAGAACAAAAGAAAAACAAAAACAGCTATCACTAAATATCAAGGATAAAATAAGTGAAAAATGAAAAGGAGAGAAAAATACTTTAAGACCAGTGGTGGGATGGGACGGGGCAGTTGGGGCGGGGGGAGCCTGAAGTGAGATATGTATGGGGAAACAAATACTTCATTTGAAAATGGTCACAGTGGCGGTGATGGTGATTTTAATGCCAAAATAGTCACAAAGTTTGTAAATCATACCGTCTTGGGTGGTTATGAGGCAAGAGCCTATCAGAACCTCTCCAGGTCCGTGGGTGTTATCTTTGGGAAATGCAAAGCCCTGGGCCCAGGAACTTCTCCTCTGGGAGTTCTTCAGGCTGAGAAGTGTGTGTATCTTGGGACACTTGGCTTAGATGAGTCCCTTTTATTCTGTCTAGAAATGTACTTTTCAAATACAGTTTGGTAACCATAGTGTAGTTTAGATAGTTGTAGTTGAAGTAATGAGAAATTTTCAGTTGAGAAAAGGATGCAGAGAAAAGAATCAGGCATATCTGTAATTTGTATAGTTAACAGCAGCTTATGCAATATGTATGATTAGGTTTTACCCACCTACTTATTATTTAATTGATTTTTTTTTGGACGCTCATGTGGAAAATTTGGATTCTTCAGTGGAATGTGATGAACTGTGTGTGGGGAAATACATCTGGAGAAAGAAAACTTTAGCTTTGAAGGATTTTTTAATTTGCTTTGGAAAATCATATATTTTTTAAATTTGGTATTTACTTGATCTTTTGGTATTTATTTAACTATTGACCCATCATCTGATATTCCCTCCTGTCAAACCCCAGCTGGGATTAGAAGCAGACAGATGAGATTTACATAATTCTAACATTTTTATTTTCTTGAATTTCTTTTGGACCTGAGGTATAAAGCAGCTCACCTGTGTGTTTCTTTGAAAATTTAAAAAAATCTTGTGTGTGTTGGTTCGGTGATTTATTCATCACTCTGCACTCTAAGTGGTCTTTTTAGTTGTATTTACAAGATATTTAGAATATGCTTTTGAAGAAAATATTTTTTAAAAGTCTTCTTTCTACCCTTCTTTTAAAAAAGCAGTAATAAATGCACGTGATAAAAAAATTGAGTGAAAAAAAGGGTAAAGTGAAAACCCTTGCCCAACTCAGACCTCTTCCCTAATCCCTCTCTTCAGCTCCTGTGTATTTCCTTGTTTTATGCTTACACAAGTACTTGCTACATTAAACCAAGTGAAATTGCCATTTTTGTAAGTCAGAATATAGGCAGTTTAATTTGGTTTAATGTATATTTCTTTTTTTAATGTATAGGGTCATATACTGTTATACATCTTGCTTTTTTAAAATTTAAATCTTGGGGCTTATTGCATGTCTGTTTATACAG